TATGGTGCGCAGCCACCAGTTTGGCAGCCAGAACCATAGCCAGGAACCGTGACTCCTGGAATCACAAAACCGGGAATCTCTGTGCCTGGCACCACTATGGGAGGGATTGTTGTGCCTGGGACAACTACACTGGGTACACCACCAGGACCACAATTAGGTTGGCCCGACCCGGATCCTGTTCCTTCTCCAATGCCAATACCTGTACCACCACCTGAGCCAATTCCTTCTCCAAAGCCACTACCGCCACTAGAGCCAATTCCTTCTCCGAAGCCAGTACCGCCACTTCCACTAGAGCCAATGCCTTCTCCAAAGCCACTACCTCCACTACCGCCACTAGAGCCAATTCCTTCTCCGAAGCCACTGCCTCCACTAGAGCCAATTCCTTCTCCAAAGCCACTGCCTCCACTGCCATAACCAATGCCATAGCCAACACCATTGCCACTTCCATATCCCCTACCTACACCATACCCCATAGGCTTAACTGTGTGGTCAGAATCTTCTAATTCACTCGCCATGGTCTGCGGTTTTTGGACAGGTTCAACAGACATGGACTCCACTTTATGATCAGGCTTCACTTTGTGATTAGGCTTTTCCATATGATCAATCTTTTCCTTTTCATCAAGCTTTTCTTTGTAATCAGGCTTCATTTTGTGATTAGGCTTTTCCATATGATCAATCTTTTCCTTGTCATCAAGCTTTTCTTTGTAATCAGGCTTCACTTTGTGATCAGGCTTTTCCATATGATCAATCTTTTCCTTGTCATCAAGCTTTTCTTTATAATCAGGCTTCACTTTGTGATCAGGCCTGACCTTGTCCTCAGGATCTTCTGGTTCACCCGCCATGGACTGCAGTTGATGATCAGGCTTGACTTTGTGCTCAGGTTCTACACCGAACAACTCATGATCTTGCTCCCTCAAACTAACCATCCCCCGCTTCACTCCATGGACTAGATCTAGCTTGCTTGACGCCATCATAGGATGATCCTTAAGAACCCTGCGAGCGAAAGTTGAACTGAAGAAGCATAGTAAGAAGACGAACCCAAAGCAAATGCCTTGGTGTCTCTGTGCCATTTTTTCTGTGTAATAAGTTGGATCCTGCTGTACATTTCGGAAAAAAAGGAATCCCTCATGGTTTTATAGGAGGAGAGACTTTTATCTTACGAGAATACACAATCCCATAAACGCAAAATGCCTCGCTGAAAATACGCATGAAAAAACGATTCACAAACATAGCATGACAGGCGAAAAGTAAGAGGCTTTTTCGATTAACACAAATTGTATGTTTTAGCAACTTCAACTCTTCAAGTTTTCGAAACCTTATTTGCCAACAAGAAACTACATCAACACCACAATCTTTGGAACCAGATATTATATAATCTAAAAGAAAAACAAACAAAAAAACTCAACTGACATCATCATCATCTGAGAGCTCTTGACAGAGATTCAGACACTATCACCATCACCTTGTGATTCTGCATCTCTCAATCCTTCAGCCAAAGCACGTGCCCTGTTCTGTGTTTGTCTTTCTACAGCAACCATGTATAAACCTAAACACAACCAATATGGTTTAAGCAAAAATGTCTTCTCAGAGAAAGAAAAAGCTCATGAATTTTGAGAAAACAAATCACAATCTCTAAGATCATACCGATTGCACTTCCGATTGCACATCCCCATAGAATCCTCATCGACCACTTGTCGCTGATTATTCCTCTCGACCCCATATTTTCTCTGTAATAATATCCCAATCAAAAGCTAGTTTTAACCAGTAAAAACGCAAACTTTCATGATTGCAAAACAGCAAAACGGAACATTTTCGATGATGGCAACACTCGAATCCTGATTCGTTAATAGGAGATTTTACAGATAAACCCTATTCTATATCTACCCTCGTAAAAGAAGAAATCAGACGAGGAGCCAAATCCGTGAGATTGCTCGAAGCATATATCAAAGGAACAATGTTTAGGAATAATATAGATGAGCATTAAGGAGTGTGTGTGCTTACCAGAAATCGCCCGTGATCGCTAAGAAGACAACAAGGAGTGAAGATTGACCGTGGAAGGAGGAAGACGAAAACTAAAATGGGCTACTTTGTAAATACGAAACAAAAAGTGCTAATTTTGGTAAGACACAAAACTATGGAGGATTAGTCCACAATAAATATTAAAGTCAGGCTCTTCGATTCTCGCGCGTGAATACACTCGCGCGTGGATCAACGCGTTTTTTTTCTTTTCTTTGAAGCCCATAAAACCTGGACACTCCTCATGCACCGAATAACATGACTGAGA